AGAAGTTTTGCTGGACGGCTTTCTCCTGTATCTGGTATTTTCACTGCCTTCAAGTATGTTCTTGTCTATGCAAGTTGTTTTGTTCCAATCTCCCTAAATCTGCATACTCATGAAGGAAAGAAGGATAAGCCACTGTCGCTTTTACTTGCTATTTTCCCTTTTTCTTTGGCCAAGAATAGGCCACGTTGTCTCTTATCACTTTTGTCTTCCTTATCACTTAAAAATAAAAATTGAGTCAGCCGCCTAATATTACGGGCCCACCTCACCTTCATCCTTATCAAATGTCTTGAGTTTTGATTAAAACCGACTTCGCCAAAAAATCTCACTTTCTTTTGGCCACAATTAAGCGACGTCACCATGTTCTTATCATCTGAAAATATTAAATGACAAAAATGAAAAGAGGAAGACGGGGCTGCTGCCACCACAGCCGGGGCCCACCTTCACAGTCGTCGGGACCGAGTTCAAAACGGCCGACCTTGTTCGAGTTTCAAAACCAACCGACTCCAATCCCCGACCTCAATAACGGGCCGACATCGGCACCTCAGAACCGACTTCCGATCTCAGTACTTTCGAAATAGCCAACATCACCGTCAAACTGGCAGGACCGACATCAAAACAACCGACTTGCCTCGCCAGGACTTCGGCACCTCCGACTTTACAATCTGAGGTCAATTGCAATGCCCGACTTCAATTATTGGGACTAACGTCGACACCAACCGACTTCAAATTGTCGGCACCGAACGACTTCAATACAGCCGGCACAAGCTCGGATCTTCCACGACCGACTTTGCTATCTTAGCCGACTTCGGGTGAACCCGACCGAATTCTCTGACCTCAAATCGGGCCCGATCTCTTGAATACCGAGCCCGAATAAGAAAAATCAAGTCCCGACCTCAAAGTTGTTGAGAGCCGAGTTCAGACATCACAAACCACAGGGGCCGACCTCGAAACGGCCGACTTTACCTTGCCGGAATCTCGGCATATTCAGCCTTATATTACGGCCGACTTGGATCTGCGACCGTTCTCTATAGCAGGGCCCAAACTCAGATTTTGAACTCTCAGTCAACCGACTTCATCTCCTTCGGCGACAACCGAGCTGTGCAATACGGTCGGAGTTGACCTCGTTCTTTCAAAATCGACTTCGATCCCACTGTCGCCGCACCACCAAATTCTTTTCCATCGAATTCGGATCTCTGAAAACATTAATACCGGGCCAACATCGGAACCTCAAAAAACCGACGTCCTCGATTGAAACCAAAAAGAAAAAAAAAGAAGAAGAAGATCCATGACCGGCCTCCGCGTCGTCGGCCGACCTCGACCAAGTCGCGATCGCCTATGCCCTTAATCAATTCGGCGAGTTCGCATAAACTCCAGATGAAAATTGAACCAGCTTCCTTTGTCGTCGATAGTTATCTCAAGTTCTTAATTTCACAGATCTGACCCCGCAACTCAAATCCCAACTTGAGAAGCTCTTCTTATGTTGCTTATTGGGCCTTGGACATAATAAAAGAACAAATATGGGCTGGTGGAGAGTATTGGGGCATGAAAATAATTATGATGAACGATGATTGGGCCAGAACATATTAAGACTCGTTGAAAATTCAATGTTGGAGGCTCAGCTTCTTTTATTAGACCAACGGTAACCGGGGCCGAGCTCATTTATATATTTACGCCGAAGCCATTTATCTATTTGCGACGGCCTATTAGTTCAAGCCGCAACCAGTCATCTATTTGTGACGTCCCATTATTGCTCGCCGTGAGCCACGACTCCGGCTGAGCTGACGTCTCATTATTGCTCGCCGTGAGCCACGACTCCGGCTGAGCTGACGTCTCATTATTGCTCGCCGTGAGCCACGACTCCGGCTGAGCTGACGTCTCATTATTGCTCGCCGTGAGCCACGACTCCGGCTGAACTGACGTCTCATTATTACTCGCCGTGAGCCACGACTCCGGCTGAGCCGACGTCTTATTATTGTTCGCCGTGAGCCATGACTCCGGCTGAGCTGATGTTTTATATTTGCTCGCCGTTGAGTTTCAACTCCGGCTGAGCTAACTTTTATATTTGCTCGCTGTTGAGTTTCAACTCCGGCTGAGCTAACATTTATATTTACTCGCCGTAGAGTCTCGACTCCAGCTGAGTTGACGCGTATATTACCTCATCGTTGAGCTCCTGCTCCGACTGAGAGGACTTCTATATTTGCTCGCCGTTGAGCCTTGACTCCGGCAGAGCTGATATTTATATTTACCTCGCCGTTGAGCTTCTGCTCCGGCTGAGCCCACACTGGTTAGGCAAAGTCAATAAGACCTTTCCGGCTGGGCAGCATTAAAATTAGTCGGCAACTTAATAAAAATAGCCGACATTCCTTTAAAAATTCAGCGAGTAAAATGATATGCTGAATATTCCAGTCGGAAAGGCACAGAACCTACCGACATTCCTTTAAAAATTCAGCGAGTAAAATGATATGCTGAATATTCCAGTCGGAAAGGCACAGAACCTACCGACATTCCTTTAAAAATTCAGCGAGTAAAATGATATGCTGAATATTCTAGTCGGAAAGGCACAGCACCTACCAACAGATAAAGTCAGACTCGACACAATATCGAGGTAACATTATTTTTCGTTTTGTTAATTATTTATTGCACGAAATCATCACATCATCACTCATTCATACATTCATACATGCATCTTGACATGAACATTAAAAGTCCAGCAAAATGTCCTTAAGAACCCATGTTGCAGCACAAATTATTTTTATTTTTACCGAGTACCGAATCGAAAGATTCGTTCCCCGGGTCGATCTCTCGAGGAAGGCGGTTCGGNGGACCGAAAGACCTTCTAAAAGACCTAAAAATGAGGGAAAATAAATGTAAAATAACAATAAAAAACGTAACAAAAATAATCACAACAACCCACACTGGTTAGGCAAAGTCAATAAGACCTTTCTGGCTGGGAAAAATATAAAATGGAAAATTTACACCGAGTTCTTCAGCTCGGTAAAATAAAAATAATTCGGCTAACCGACATTGGTATAATAAAAAAGTCCGAATCTCGAAAAATCATTCGGTTAACCAATGTCGGCACAGTAAAAAAGCCGAATTTAAATAAAAATAATAATAAGAAAATCTTAACCGAACCCTCAAGATGGTTTGGCAAGGCTAACGCCTTACATATTATAACTAAGATCGGGAACATACTACCCGACTGGGAAATAATTCAATAAAAGACCGAGGACCGGATACTAAATTATCCGACCAGGTTCACATAATAAAGAAAAATATTCACAAATCAAACAAAAAATCATGTCGTCTCAATATGACAGAATCGCGAGTCCAGTAACAATTCCGGGGGCCCGAGCGCCCATATAATTCCATATCATTATTACCATATCAAATGCTTCGCGTTCCACGCAAAAAACGCGAAAGTCGGGTACCAAATTGCCCGACTAGGCCATCCAGGCTCCACTCCAAATTCCAGAAAAATTGACTATCCACATCATTGGCTCCACGGGTCCCAAAGTACCCGGCCATCATTGATTACGGCCAAAATTGATAATACATGCGACTTCAGAACAGTTTTATTCAAAACATGCCCTAAAGTCGGGGGCCTCTTGTTGATACCTAATTTTGGCCTAACCTATTATAATATTACACGTGGATATGTTTTATATTAATTTTTCGGGATATTTTTTGGGCCTTAAATAATGCCTTAAATAATGCTACTTGTGATAATATCGGGCCCGTTAAACGTATATATAAATACCCCAATGATGGACCTGGATAGATAAGTCTGAGGGGCGTTACTTATTTTTTCTCTCTGATGGAAGCGGTGCCGCAGAGGAAATCTTCTTCCTCCTACTTCTTTCTTTGGCCTGTTCCATCTTCTCTACTGAAAATTCATACGATATTCACAAAAAATCCAATACAAATAAATACAAAATAAATTCCTCTGAACCCCCCATGTTGATCAATTTTCGAGCATCAACACTTGCGTTCAACACGCCCATTCTGCTGAGGTGTACCCACACAAGAGGTCTCATGTAAAATGCCTTCACGACGAAAATAATCAGCCATACACACAAATTCAGTACCATTGTCACTACGAACCACACGCACTAGTGTGCCGAATTGACGTTTAACCATGGCCAAAAAATTGATAAAGACTGAAGATACCTCTGTCTTATCAGCAAGTAAATAAATCCAAACACCACGAGAAAAATCATCAACGATGGTAAAAAAATATCTAGATCCACAGAAAGCCGGAACCCGATAGGGGCCCCACAAATAACAATGTATCAGCTGGAAAATGCCAGTGCTCATAAAATTACTAAGGGAAAAACTGTCTCTAGTTTGTTTTGCTCGAAAGCAGACATCACATGGCTTTTTCAAAGCAGAAAACTGAGAAGCAACTAAAGGCAAATGTGACAAGACACGATTCGACGGATGTCCTAACCACTGGTGCCAGAGATCAGCAGAAACCTTAACCACGTAAGTAGATGCAGCAGAAACTGTCCCCCGAAAGAAGTATAGTCCCCCTATCTGCTCACCCGCTCCAGTCACCATCCTCGAAGTGCAATCCTGAATGACACAAAACTTATTAGTAAAGTGGGCCGTACAACCGGATGTATTCAGCAATTGGTACAAGGATATTAAACTGCACTGTAAGCTGGGGACAAATAAAACATCATGTAAAATAATAGACACCCGTCCGTCGTCCAATCCCTCACTTCGTTCGTGATAGTCCATTAGTAGTCCCTACTGAGAAAGATAGCTGCAAATAAACAGTGCCTATTTTACTGGCAGAAGTCAAAGACCCGTTTGGTAACTGAACGGGACGAGCAGATATGTCACGAACATCAGACAAAAATTCCAAAAAACCAGGCATATGATGAGAGGCACCATAGTCATACATCCAGTCATATAAACTCCGCTTACCAGACGACTTACTGTCCTGTTTAGCAGAATTGACGAGTTGAACAAGTTGAGTCCATTGTTCATCAGTCAAGCCACTAAGAAGTCGATCGGAAGAAGTCAAACCTGTATTTGTATTGGCTCCAACCTGGACAGCCGCGACGGCAATGTTAGCCTGCACAGGAGCTCCGTCGCTACGGCCACCGCGTCCGCGCCGTCCACCACGGCGTCCACCACCACCACCACGGGGGTACCAGTCGGGAAAGCCGATAACCTCAAAGCAGCTGGCCGCAAGATGTCCGTTTTTGCCACATTGAGAGCACAGACGCTGTCGACCTCCTCCACCTCCCGAAGAGCTGCCGGACTGATCAGTTGAAGAACCCGTCACCGGTAGCATAGAACCAGACGCCGGCAGCGCATGTAGAGGACCGCCACCAGCACGCCCACCGCCGACGGCACCGTCAAGCCCGCGAGAGAACAAAACCGGGCCTGTACGAATAGCAAAACCCACAGCAGCATCAAGGTTGTCGTCGGCGATCGAGATGGTGCACATTCTTTCTTCCTGGATGCAAGTCGAATAAATCCGATTCAACGTTGGGAGAGGATCTTGGGCCAACAGATTTGAACGAGTGGGACCGTAGAGTGTAGGATCCAAGCCTTTGAGAAATTGGTGGACTCTCTCTGTTTCTTGTTTACAATTCCACTGAACAGGTAAATTGCACTTACAGAGACCACAACTACACATGGGAGGTTTATCATAATCTGCCAATTCCTCCCAAAGTTTGGAAATCTTACCGTAGTAGGCTTCAATACTTATGCCTTTCTGTTTACAAGCCGCGAGATCGGATTTAAGTTGTTGAATTCGGGGACCATTCTTCATAGTGAATCGCTCCTTCAAGGAAGACCAAAGGTCCTCGACAAATTCCGGTTCCACCACTGAAGATCTGAGCGTGGTATCGATGTTGTTTATAAGCCAGGAGAGCAAAAGAGAGTTGTTTGCTTGCCAATCTTCAAACAACTCGTTGCTGGCAGGAGGACGGGCAATCGAACCATCCAAAAATCCGAACTTCTTGCGTGCACGAAGAGCGATGCGAATACTACGAGACCATTCTTCATAGTTGGTATCTCATTTTAATTGAACTGGAGTAATTAAAAGGCCAGGATTATCGCTGGAAGTGATATCGTAGGGAGAGATCGTTTTTCTGGAAACAGTCTCAGTACTGGTACTCGTACCAGCCATGGTAGAAGAACGAGAAAAAAGAAAAAAAAAATGAGAAAGATTAACCTGCTCTAGATACCATGTCAAAGCAGGAAGAAGGAGAAATACATTTAGCGAGATATCAATCTGATGATCTCATATACGACGCTCACATATATATGAAATCAATTAGAGTTACAAGGATACATATACTTGCTCTACAAGAAACTAATTAAACAAGGGTACAAAAGGGAAAACACTAATACTACATCAACAAAATCCCCCAAAGGGAACCCTAGGTCCCTAGCCCCAAATTTCGTTCCCAAATCTCGCCGCCTGCTGCCATCCCTTCCGATCTCCTCACCGCCCCTCCTCCGCTTCCTCGTCTTTCACGGACATCGGGACATGGCTTCCTCCACTGTTTCCTCCTGGGTTCCACCTTCACTTCCCGAGCCCGCCGCCGCCTCAGGCTTGATCCTCCTCGACAGGTTGTGCTACATCGCCGACCTCCCAAACAACACCACCGCCAAGAGCACCACGAGCACCGGCTTGCCGATCGAGGTGACCTTCCGCGCCGCCCGCCCGCCCGCCACTTGTCTCCCACTTCTGTGTCCACTGCCCTGGCCTGGACTTCAGCCGCATAGGGCCCAAGATCGTCGCCACTGACGCGGATCTCGTCCTCCTCCGCGTTCCCCTCGACCCCAACGGCAGAAGCATCTCAGGTTGGAACTGGGACCACTTCGTCTACAGGCCGCGCGCCCAGTGGCTAGATCTGGTACCGAACCCCCCGCACCTCGGGGCGCTCGACGCCGCCGCAACCGCCCTCATTAGCCGCGAGGACGGCGCTTGGTTTGCCGTCGCTGCTCTCGCTTTTAGGCCCCCCCTGTAAAATGGCCGCAAGCTCATTAGCTGGGAGTTCGACCTCCTCTGTACAGATCATCCTCAGGTTCCGAAGGGTGGATCTCCAAGCGGCTGTCACTGAAAGAGTTCAAGAGGGACAAACTTATCCCTTTACCTCGGGCAGTCGACAGGCTGTACCACGAGACGGCGAAGTGCATCACCATTGGCGGTGCGCATGGCACGGTGGCTTGGGTGGACCTTTGGCGCGGCATCTTCTTTTGCGACGTGCTCAGACAATGCCCACAGCTCCAGGATGTCCCGCTGCCGGAGCCGGCAAGGGCAAACTGGGATCGCCTCCTCAGAGGTAACCCCGGCTATTTGCGGGACGTAACTGTCAGCCGGAACAAAGACTCGATCAAGTATGTTGAGTTGGAATGGTTGGAAGTCCTGTCACCAGAAGAGCTGAATGCCACCCCTGTTTCCTATGCTGACTGGGTGCGCAATAGCTCAAGGAAACCCCAGCTCAAGCGTGATGGCTGGAAGTCCACAACATGGAACATGGCAATACCGGTTGGTTCGTCGGAGGGCTGGCGCTGTGACTGTGTAGTTGACGTGAAAGACATCAACTTGGAGGCTGGTGACCCATGTCTTTCTGATCTCATGGCTATGCTGAGCAGCAAGACCACAGGAACGTGGAAGGAACTTCCGTTGGGATATCCCATCCTAAGCATGGATGATGATGTCGTTTACTTGATTTCTCAAACCAGACCCAGGAACATGGACAAGTTGGCAATGATGTTTGCTGTCGATGTGAGGAAGGCAACACTGCGAGGATTGGCTGAGCTTGATGTCCAGAAGACTACCATGAACTTCTGTGCAAGTGAGATCTGCAGGGTACCTGAGCAATATTAAGGTAACTTCTGTATGCTGGTAAGTTCCCTTTATGTTTTTATGTGCGACTATATGTATGAATGCCATGCTTGCCATGAGAGATAGTGAATCACTGTGTTGGTACCATTCTGGTTTCAGTAGGGTCTAGAGCTTAGCAGGTTAGTGCATTTAATTCAGGAGCTATGGCTTGATGACTGTGTGATTCGGTGGAGGGTTATTGATAAGCGTTGCCGGTGTTGTATATCAGTTGATTAAACAAATCCTGGCAATCCAATAAAAATAAGTTTGTGTTAAGCTGATTTTTTGTTGTTTGTGTGCGATCCCTCCTCTGAAATGTTAGCAAAAATGTTATGGAAGTAGACAAGGCCACAACTCAGTTTTCTTTATCTATGGTGGAATTCTGTCAAATCAATACTAAACAGCTTATATTTATTTTTCTTGAATCGTCCTTAATACTTATTTTTGTCTTTAATTCTTAATCTATGTTGAAATATAGTAATAATATGCCTTAAACATGATAATTGTTTGCTAATACCATAATTGGCATGATAATACCCTGCATCTCACTCGGGAGAAACAGATTTGAATCTCGTTGAGCCAAGCTCGCTGCCTACTTTTTTGCTTAGCCGCCTCACTAAACCTTTATCAGTTTGATTACCGAACCAAATCCATCCCTACTTACATATATACTGATTGAAATTTACACTCAATTGGCATGTAATCTTTCACATAACACCGCCTCACTCCGTTTTTGTGTTGTACTTTTTTTTTTTACTTTTATAATTTATTTGCTTTAACCGCAATAAACCAGAAAATTTGATGTAGGAACTAGTAAGCATCCCGTGCGATTCACGGATGGATTTGTACTTAAAACCTTATTTTAAATTTATTTTATTAATATGTTAGTTTGCTGGCCCGTTTATATTAATGTAAATAATATTTTAACACATATATTTATCTGTCGGTATAGAAAAATAATTATAATTTCACTTATTTTTTGTCATCATAATACTCAAATATTATGTTTTTCTAAAATGTGTCATAATGCTATTATTATTTATAATACTTATAAAAGTGGTATTTTTAAATATGTAATGATAAATATTTACTATATATTAATATTAATTATTGATGTAATTAATTTAAAAATATATAAAATAATTAAAATAAATATTGTGTCATATATGCATTCTATTCAATTTTTAGAATTTATCCTATAACATAATAATTAAAAACAAAATCATATATATATATATATATATACATATATGATTTTATGACAATATTAAATATATTAAGCCTAAAAAAGAATATTATATCATAGTAATTAAAAACAAAGTCACACACACACACATACATATATTGTTTTATGACAATATTAAATATATTAAGCCTAAAAAGAAACATTTTAGGGATTCAACTAGTTTTTATTTGGTTTGATTTTTAACGATAGTTAATTTTGAAATAATGTTGTATGGTTAGTTGTTAGTGGATATATTAAAATAATATTTAAATAAAATAGTTAAAGTTGATTTGATGTAAAGTTAGAGAAAAATGATTGGAAGTGATAGTTAGTTAAAATTATGTGAGTGGATGAATAGTGAATTAAAGTTGATGTGATGTGTAATGAATGATTGGTTGATATTATTTAATTATACTGATAATATTGAACATAGTGAAGTCTATATATATATAATTACTAGCTAATAGTATTTAATAAAACCTATTTAATTTTACCTATGTGGCAATTTAACAATTTTTCCTCCAAAAACCGTTACATTTTGATGTATTTACTATTTCATTTAATCATTAATAATTAATACTCATTACTTCAAAATTACAAAAATTATTTTAAACTTTTGATTAATGACAATTGACCATATCATATAATGTGTTGACAGTATAATGTGATTAGATGTTATTATTGTTGTTACATTTTATTTTATTTTTAAAAATAAAAAATATATTTGAAATTCCTGAATAAATAATAAATAATTCACAAATAAAAGACGTACCAAAATATACATTACATCCAATCAGATAAACGCAATTTTAAAAAAAAATATTTCAACTCTTTTAATTATAAATTTGGTCTGCAAAAAAGTGAAAGAAAAATAATTAAACATTGTATGCATACAGACTCACAATAATTTATTTATATATGTGCAAATGCACAGGTCGAATACTAGTTGAGTTAAATTTGTGTTTTGATTGATTTTTTTTAGTTGGATTGGTAAACAATCACACCCTTAGTAATCAGACAAACGAATTTCATGATAGAAAATTTATGTAGTCGGATTTTCCAAAATTACTTATCTGACAAAATAATTTAAACAGTTAGATATATATGGACACCCAATCGGTGTGATTTTTCGGAAAATTTTGAAAAATTTCATCGATTTTATAAAAAAGTGATGTAGTTTGATAAATTTCGACAATCAATTGGCGTGTGATTTTTGAAAAAGTTAACAAAATTTCACACGATTGCGTAGTAGGTATTTCGTGTGATTTTTTGAATAAGTTAACAAATTTCACAAGATTGTCGACTGTGTAGTAGGAATTTTTCAAAAATAATATGAATTGAGCCTAAAAGTATGAGTAATTAGATGATATTATCGGTGAGTTTTATGAATATAAGATTCTAATTAGAGTATGAATTTGATGATGATAATATTACCTCAAATATTGCGTTTGACTTTTATTTTTTTAAAAAAATAAATAAATTAACCATTTAAGATTGTTAAAGTACAAAAAATAATGGAATAAATCCAAACTACATTATGGAGTCATAACTTTTCAAAATTTACCTAATTAATTATCTATGCTACCAATAGCAATAAATTAATTACCATACACATTAAACAATCAATATGCATATTCATAAATAAATATTGCCCATATTAAATAAATAATGGCAATAAAAATAAAATGAAATAATAATTTCAACTATTATGGCCATTAAACAACAGTCCAAGACAAATAAGGAAACTGACAGTTCAATCCATATTGGAACTATTTTGCACTTCAAACGGGAACAAACCTGTACTTGCCAAAAATTCTCGCAAGACCTTCATGGTTGAATTTCTAGTTCTTCCTCTAAAAAGAAGATCGCCAGCCAGGGACGGAGTTACAGTAAATGGCACCTGGGCCACAGCCCAGGTAAGATTATTTGCACTCTATTTATATTAGGGAAAATTATATTTTTACAAAGCGTTGAGATAATTATTGCAACAATACGAAGGGGACCTTTTTATTGCAAACTTGCCAATTTCATAGCATTTATTTGTGATATTGCAAGGATATCAGTTACCCTAAAAAAAGGGATCAACTATCCTTAAATTGCGGGAGTTATTAGTGTCGTAATCAAAATATATGGTAGGTGTATGTATCCTAATATCTAGGATATTGTTCAATTCAAAATTAAACGATATAAATTTTGTTTATTTTTTGTGTTATTTATATATCGTGATTTTTTTTTCTGTATATTTATAGTATATTTTCTAGTTTAATACATATAAAATACACTATCAACATTATATACGGGAGATATACAGAATATATATACTTATTATATACAGACGAGACAAAAATAAAATCCACAAAGAAGATAAATCAATCTTGTCATTATATATAGGATATATACAGAAAATATACGAAACGCAGGCGACGAAACATACGAAGCGCGGGCGGCGAAAATATATACTAACATATACTGCATATACACGCAACATATACTGCCGATTGTGAGTTTGCGATAAATAAATATCATCTCATCAATAAAGCCATTAAAAGCTCCATCAACTCCCAAACCACGCGCCCACCGTCCCCCTTCCCGCGCGGCCGCCATCTCCACCATCAACCTTCTTCATTGTTGTACGGTCTCGGATAGTACATCAGCAGTGCATGAATTGTGCAATCTGTGGCCAACTTCCGCGACCGAGAATTGTGCGACGAGGGTAGGCGATGGAGTCCACCCTCGGAGATATCCCCAACCGTCTGAAATCAAGGGGCCGCCACATCCTTAGGATGTATTTTTTTCGCTCGTCCACCATAAGCCGACGGTGACGAAGAACTTATCGAAGCCGCGGAGTGCACCATCAGCACGCTCTATTTCTTACGGCAGCGGGTTATTGAGAGAGAGAGGGTTGAGAAGGAGAGAAAGAGATGGTTGAGGAGGAGAAAGAGAGATCGATGCGGGTTAAAGAGAGGGATGGGGAGGAGAGAGAGAGAGAGAGAGAGAGAGAGAGAGAGAGAGAGAGAGGAACCATATAATTAGGGGAGTTACTTATTCAAACCAACTTCTAGTATATATGTAAATAATATAATAATTTTAGTTACTTTGCTAATAAATATATAAGGATAGTAAATGTGCAATAATATTGTAAATGTTTAGTAGACTGTGCATTTTTCTCTTTTTATGTATATTATATGATCTTTTTTTATTTTAGCCCATCTCACTTAATTAGTTTAGCCCACATAGCCCAACTCACTTAATTAATTCAGCCCACATACTCAATTATATTAAATCCAACCCAACAATATATTACACTACCAACAATATATTACATTAAGCCTTAAGGAAAGGGTTTATTTCTTACTTACGGGGAGGGTTTATTCTTATTTTCTCAGGCTCGGGTATCAGCAATTCATAAGTGATAACAAATAAAGGGAACTTGTCTTGTTCAATTCATTACGCACGCACCAAATTTTGTGAGAAATATCGCTACTGGCTACTGCTCGACTCCTTCCCGCAACATCACCGTTTTTTTTCTTCTGAATATTGAGGTACTTTTTTTCCCTTTTTTTTATATGTTTTATCATGTTCAATAAATTATTTTGTTTAGTAGATTATCTTGTTTAGTACATTATCATGTTTAGGAAATTAATTATGATCAATAAATTAATTCAGTTTTTTTATGATTTAATTGTGATCAAGAAATTAATTCAACTTTTATCATTTGTGAGGTTAGAGAAGAGAAGAGCATGAAATATTTTCCATTTAATCATGATGATTTTCAATGTGTTGTAGTAGTTTTTATTAAATAATTAAAACTACTACTACACAACCTATTAATTAAAAAATAAATTATAATCAAAGACATATTAATCCAGATTAGTATATTCTCAAACAGGCAGTTTTAATTGGTGGGTTTTTACTTGAGTTGACTTGCAGTTTATTAGGTCTGAAATGATCAAAATCATCTCTGTTGAAATATTGAATTGAATTATTTATAAATTTTATATATGTGGCTGATTCTTATATATAGGTTGTAGAATCTTTCTATATTCTTTGGCATGTGTCCTACTATTATTTATTTTAGTATTTGATTCTTTTGCTTAATTAATTGTTAGAGTTGAATAATGTAACTATGCCCACATTTGTTGTTAATCTCTCTTTTAATCATTAGGTACTTCAATTTTTCAATGTCAAATCAAGAGAGAAAGAGGCCTAATATTCTCTCGTTCTTTAAGCCCCAAAATGATAATTCTTCATCATCTGGGGCTTCAGCAACCGCAACAAACACTGTTGAAAGTAGTCCAGTCATTTCCAATGAGGATCCCCAACGCCCTTCTAAATCTCCAAGAATTGAATTTGATGAAACTTGTCTTGAACGATATCCTGGATTACGTATTCCTATGTGGCAACATCCCGTTAATCACCGTGATGAAATTAGACGAGCTTATATCAAAATGGGGCCATATCAACCTAAATTGACAGAATATCCACGATCTGAGTGTGGAAAGCAATATCTCGATTCCAATATGCGTGGTTTCAAAAATTTCCCTGGTTAGAATATTCTCCTTCTAAAGATGCAGTTTTTTGTTTTCCATGCTATCTCTTCGAATCTACTGAAGCACATCAATCTCCATTTACTATTGAAGGCTTTAAAAGTTGGAAACGTGTAAATGATGGAACCAAATGTGCATTTTTGTCTCATATTGGAAATTCTAACTCAGTGCATCATAACTCGGAAAAATCAATTGTTGATTTGATGAATGTAACCGGACATATAGATAAAGTCATTAATCGAGAAACTTCAGAACAAATTCGAAAAAATCGGTTAAGGCTTACAACAACAATAGAGAGTGTTCTTTGGCTTAGCTTGCAAGCTTGTGGTTTAAGAGGTCATGATGAATCTTTAGAATCTCAAAATCGTGGTAATTTCATTGAAATGCTAAAACTTTTGGGTAAATGGAATTCCAGTATTGGTGATGTTATCTTAGAGAAGGCTCCAGGGAACGCTAAATATACATCATCGGAGGTTCAAAAAGAAATCTTGCATATTATCGGTAATAGAATCAGGAGTAAATTCGTGAGGAAATTGGGGACTCTAAGTTCTGTATTTTGGTGGATGAGGCAAAAGATGTGTCCAATAAGGAACACATGGCTATAATTTTGAGATTTGTTGACCTCCATGGAATTTTGCGAGAGCGATTTATCCATATTGTGCATGTTCATGACACCAAAGCTGTAACATTGAAGAAAGCAATATGTGATGTCCTCAGTAAATATAACTTAGAAATTAATGACATGCGAGGTCAGGGGTATGATGGTGCTAGCAATATGTGTGGTGCATTCAATGGTTTACAAGCGTTGTTTATTAAAGATTGCCCTTATGCATATTATTTGCATTGTTTTGCTCATCGGCTTCAACTAGCATTAGTTGCAGCGGCTAAAAAAGAAGCATCCATATGGCTTTTCTTTTCAAATATAACAACCATTGTTAATTTGGTTACATCTTCTTCCAAGCGTAACACCGAGTTACAATCTTTACAAGCTAATGAAATCACTTGTTCTATTGCTGCTGGTGAACGCGAAACAGGCAGGGTCGCTAATCAGGTTGGTAATTTGCAACAAGCAGGAGCTACTCGATGGAGTTCTCATTTTGACTCTATTTGCAGTTTGATAGATATGTACAATGCAACTATTAATGTGCTTGAAAATATTATGGTTGATGGTTCTTCTACTTCAATGCGTGGGGAAGCTAGTGGTTCACTATTGGTGATGAAGTCTTTCGATTTCATTTTCATCTTTCATTTGATGCATAAAATTATGGGTATCACGAATGTTCTGTGCCGTGCTTTGCAACAAAAATCACTTGATATTGTAAGTGCAATGGATTTGGTCGCAACGACAAAAGCACTTCTTTTGACATTGAGAAATGAAGCTTTTGATGATCTTCTTTCTTATGTCAAATCATTCTGCATAAAATTGGATATTGATGTACCAGAAATGAGTGCTCGTTACAAGCATTCCAGTCGTTCATGTCGGCAAAATGATACCATCACTGTTGAGCATCACTTTCATTAGGATGTGCTTAATGCGGCAATAGAATTTCAATTGGAAGAGTTGAATTCTAGATTCAATGATGAGACTGTGGAGCTTCTTGTGCTTAGTTGTGCTTTGGATCCGAAAGATAATTTTAAATGGTTTGACGTTGATAAAATTTGTACTCTTGCAGAAAAGTATTATTCTGCAGACTTTAGTGAACAAGAAATGCATCATCTGATGTGTCAACTTCAACATTTTAAGCTCGATGTTGTTTGCCATGAGCAGTTTCAGTAAATGTCGAGTATCTCAGAAATGTGTCGAGGACTATCTGAAATGAAAAAGGTGCAGTGCTATAATTTGATTGATAAGTTGATCCGTCTAGTTTTAACTTGCCAGTTTCTATGGCAACCACGGAACGTGCATTTTCTGCTATGAGCGCATGTGAAAACAGTTCTTCGAAATAGAATGGGAGAGGATTTTTTAGCCGATTCTATGATCATCTATATTGAGAGAAAGTTTGATTCAATTATTGATTCCGATTCTATAATTGATGAGTATTATGTTTCAAAGAATCGTAGATCGCAACTTCAGTAGTATGGGTACGTCTCTTTACTTTTATTTAAAAATATTTACCTTCATCATTTTTTTTTTTTAATTTAACCTTCATTAATTTCATGCAGGATAAAGATTGTGTGGGTGAAAAATGAAGAGAACTAAAAGTTTGTTTGGTTGCGATAAAAAGGTACCTTTTTTTAATCATTTATTGTATTGCAAAAATAACTCTAGCCCGGGTAGATTGGAAATCCTGGCTCCGTCCCTGCCGCCAGCCAAGGAAAAAATCATGTCGTGAAAAATTCTGGGCAAATAATCGATTTACCATGGAACTTACCTAGATATATTCTGGTATTCTCTGTCCGCATAACTGGCAATCAGTTGTCGTCAACGAAGCACCCGAAACCGACCAGTTTTTTGGTCACGTCTGAACCCCATCACTGGTCGTCTGCAAGAAAACGACCAGTTTTTCTAGCCAGTAGTATGACCAATGATTCTTCATCTCCGGCCCTAGCGCGACCAACAACTTCTCGCTGGAAAGCCCTTGTGATGTCCTGTCATCTTCCTTGCAACAACTGTCATGGTTGGCTCTAGTGAATTCTGACAGCTCGTCACCAGTCGCGGCCAACCACCAGCAACATGAGACACCATCGTCGGCGACCTTCTTGTACCAGTTTGCGACCAGTTGCCGTAGTAGGCATCCTGCTTCCAACCCCAACCCTCCCTACCCATACTTGATGGGAAAACTATAGAGAGCCGACAGAAAAAATAAATAAATAAAAATGCCTCTAGCTCTTCACTGGAATTTGCGCAGCCGCCGACATCCGTTCATCCGGCGATATCCATCAGGTTCAACGCTCAGCCCGTTCACTTTTACTGTTCAGACACTCTCTTGCCAGAAATTCCAGCCGTCTTCTTTGGCAAGAGGTGCAGCCAGTCTTCTGCAACTCCGGTCAACAGTCTCACTATGACGTCCAACCGCCATTGACCTTCGCGTAGAAGCTGGGAACAACTAGCACCAGTCACGACGACCTCTGAGCTTCGAGCTCTGCCATCCCGCCAATCTAGTCGTTCTTAAGCCGTCGGTTTTTTACCACATCATGCCGTCGTCGGTCGTCCTTACCAGTCCACGAAGCTACTTGCCCATGTTTGTGAGCTATCCTTTCTTCCGGAAGCTACCCAACGCCGAGCACCAAATTCCAACTAAAACTTCATGTTCGTTCGACCTCAGTGCGTTCAGTGGCTTGTCTTTTCATCTTGGTCCGATTTCTCTCAAACCGCCGGAGCATAACAATTGGGATGTTAGTTGTATGATAATAATATATTTTTACATAATACAAATAAAACATATCTACACTTTTTTTTTTTCATGATTTTACTTGGCTAAAAATGCGAGATTTGGTTGGTGTATATAGGGCTGAGCAAGAGACTCGGAGAATTCTCAACCGTTCCGAAAACCAACCCGAAAACACTCTGAACAGAAAAATAACCGTTGACCATCAACCAAGGTATTTTTCGCTATCCAGCTTGCCAAAGGGGGTGCGACGAGAAGAGGAATCCGTTTGACTTTCTCCGAACCGAACCGAACCAAAAAAATAATTGGTACAATTTTGAAGATTTCACAAATATCTGTACCGAGAACCGAACCGAAAACACTCCGAACAGAAAAATAACCGTTGACCATCAACCAAGGTATTTTTCGCTATCCAGCTTGCCAAAGGGGGTGCGACGAGAAGAGGAATCCGTTTGACTTTCTCCGAACCGAACCGAACCAAAAAAATAATTGGTACGATTTTGAAGATTTCACAAATATCCGTACCGAGAACCGAACCGAACCGTCTCATATCGTACCAAACCGAAGAACCGAATTGTAACTTTTGTGTGTTATTTATATATTTTATGTCAACTTTGATCCTATATAATTTGAGAATTTATAAAATGCATATAAAATATAGAATTAACAATTAAGTTTCACTTAAATTTCATGTTTAGTAATACTTGATCTACAATTGAATTTTTCCTGTTATAAAAAATTATTTAAGTTAGAATGAAAGGTTAAAGAATTTTTTTTTAAGAAAACACTATATTTTATTTTGTTTGAATTTGCACAAATTTAGTCTTAACTAAAATTTATAATTAGTTGTAAAGTTAATTTCAAACTAAAATCTTTAATATAAGGAACTATTGATGAATGTTGGTTTTTTTAAAGCATATAAAAATTAAATAACTAAAATCTAGAGTTACTTCTAAAGTTGATTCTATTTTTCAAAATAAAATCTTCAATATGATGAAGTATTGATGAATGTGGTTTTTTCTAAGCATATAAAAATTAAGATATAACTAGGTAGTCATTCAAAAAGAATTTTGAGAAATAAGTAATCTCCGAACATTCGAATCGAACCATACTGAACCGAACCGTTCCGATAGTTCCGAACACCGAACCGAACCGAACCGAACCGAATTAAAAAATACAAGTCTCCGAACCAAACCTTCACGATTTTTTGGTACGGTTCCGGAGATCAAATTTAGTGATCTCCGAAATTTTGTACGGTTCTGGAGATTTCTCAAGAAATCTGTATATGATAATAAAAATTTGTTTAACTAATCTTAGCAACACGTGCAGTAAAACTATTACTATGATTGAGTTATATGTAACATCTTATTATTGTAAAACGTTTTATTGAAATAATTCATCCCATAAAAGACTCTGAATTAATCACGAACTAAGTTTATATTAGTTACAAAAACTGACCAAATGTGTGAGTTGACCGCGATTCAGGTATGATTTTTAGTAAAATTCTCAGTAAATAGGATATATACAAATATTTGATTTTAGTTATTTATGTCAAGAAATAATTTTTAAAACAAATTTCCAACTTTATCAAGTCGAATATTAAAGAAAAAAAGTGTAATTGTAGTTATATATGTCAACAAGGAATTAGTTAAACAATCTGAATAATACTTACTAATAAATTTCTGGCGATTCCAAAAAGAATATATGATTGTTAGCTAAATATCCAACGATTCCATCGACTTTTTCTAAATTATATACTTCTGTTAATTAATCAATATATGAAATACGTGTAATTGAATATGTATTTAGCGATTCTAAAAAAAACACCAGCGATTCCAAAAAAATATCCAACTTTTCCTAAATTATATTTAGTTGTTAATTAATTAATCATTTAACTATATCTGACTTTTTCCTAATTTATATTCGACTGTTAATTAATTATGCATTTAACTAATATTCAAAATAGTTCTTTATTCAAATCCTTAAAAATATCCGACTTTTTCTAAATTATATCCGGTTGTTATTTGATTAATCATTAAACTAGTATCCGATTTTTTTCTAATTTATATCCTACTGTTAATTAATTACTTACTTAATTAATATCCAAATAAGTTATTTAATCAAGTCCTAAAAAATATTTGTTTTTTCCTAAATTACATCCAATTGTTACTTAATTAATCATTTAACTAAGTAATAAGTACTCTTCCAACTTATGTGATGTCTTGTTTCAAAGTTCCAGTTTCTATTTGTTCTGAGATTTGTAAGGAGGCTGCTAAGTTTTGGTGGGAAAATCTGATTGAATAAAATTCATTGAGCTTACTGGGATAAGTTAGCCAGGTCAAAAGAAGATGGAGTGTTTAGGGACCTAAGGGCTTTCAATGAGGCTTTGCTCATGAAGAAGTTATGGAGAGTGTTAACTAATCCTAATATGCTCATGAGTAAGGTCATTAAAGGTAGGTATTTTATCAAGGAGAGGTTGATTGAGGTGAGATCTAGGATTGGAGACTCTTGGTTGTGGAGGAGTTGGTTCGGAGTTTGGTAGAGTCTAGCTCTAGGAGTGAGGTTCCAAGTAGGAAATGACCACTCTATTCAAATTTGGGATTGCCCTTAGGTTCCTGGTAACAGTTGTTTAAACCTACATAATTTTTTCCAAGTGATAAGAACAAATTTAAGTACTAGTGGGTTAGAGAGTTGATGAGGGAGAGGGTAAAAGAATGGATAGGGAGGTGATTCTTCAGACTTTCACCCCAGTAGATGCCTTAGCAATAATGAGTATACCAATTAGCTAGACCGGGGTGAGGGATAGATTAGTTTGCACTGGGAAAAGAACAGAAAATTCAAAGTTAAATCTGCTTATCGTCTGGTGTTGTCTCATCAAGTAGGGAGGAAAAATGTTAGTAATCCATGCTCTTCAGGAGGTCCAATGCCAAGGCTATGGAACAAAACATGGAAACTTCCCATCAAACACAAGGTGAAAACCTTCATCTGGAAGTGTTGGAATGAATATCTAAGCACCAATGTACAACTTGCAAGGAAAAGAATGAAGGTAGAGTTGATTTGTGAAGTGTGTAGTGAAGAGGCTGGAAACCAGGAGCACATTTTCTTTAGGTGCACCAAAGCTACTCTCTGCTGGCAACTAATTGAGGTGAGCTGGAACATACTAAAAAATAGGGACTGCAAATTCAAAGACTGGTGGTTGGAGATAAGCAATTATTCCAAAATCAATTCTATGGAGGAGGGAGTATGCCTATATGTTTACTTGATAGTCAGAAGCTGTTGAATTTGAAAGTAGTAAAAGAGATGTTGAGCTATTAGCTATAAGGTTAAGTGAAAGAGTTGGGATGGAAGGAAGTAATTTGCAAAATTGAGGACAGAAGCTTGGTATCTTTGCTGCAGAAGCTAGACAAATCTTGTTGCGCCTATTTTGTGCTTTTAGAAGACATAGGAATGCTACTTATTTCTGGTATTAGTTTGTATTTTTGTTTGGGATTGTAATGCTTCTAGAATTTTTGATTTGTTAGTCGATAAGGCTCATGGGGGTTTGATCTTCAAGCCTCCGTTGGTTATCACCTTTGCATGTCAGTAAAAGGTGGGAACAATTTAACGATTTGGTTGCTCGTCTGTACTTTTCGTTTGAGTTAATATTATTTCTAAGTTTGCCGTTGAAAAAAAAAGGTTAATATTGAAAAAGTAGGTTGAATTATGTTTGAATAGGATTTTGAGTTTGTATTAAAATAATATTTAAAAAAATAATTAAAATTAATTTGATGTAAAAATAGGAGAAATGTAATTGGAAGTGATGAGTTAAAATTATATTAGTAGATGAATAGTCAATTAAAGTTGATGTGATGAGTAAGAATTGATATTATTTAATTATATTGATAATATTTAGGATAATGAGATTAAGTTAAATTTGAATTAGATTTGAGTTATGAGTGAATTTTTTTTTTAAAAAAAACTTATATCAAGCATGCTCAATATAAATTGTAACTAGACATGACCACAATCCGACCCGTCCCGTCCCATCAGTTCGGCCCGTGGGATCGTCGAGCTAGTTTCGAACTGAAATAGATGTGAAAACACAGCAACACACATTGCCTCATTTCATACTAATTACATAAACACTTGTTAAATAATAATGAATAAAGCGTGTAGCGTTTTCCTTATTTTTGTTTGTGTGTGTTTTAGTTCGAACGACGTCACTTTGGGTTATGAGTGAACGGCGTCGTGTTGCTACGTGTATTCTATAAATGCCATGTGCATGTGTACGGTTCTGTATGACGAAATGAAAATAAAGCTTTCTCTTCAATTTTGAGCTCGAGATTTTTCATGGTATCCAGAGCAAGTGACGGTCCTGCGATCTGAGATTTCCTTCAATGGCGAACAATCGGAATACTGATGCTTGGCCACTGCTCAACGCGCGAGCTGGAAGCAGCTCAGAGGTGCGAGAAGATCATCCATATTACCTCAGTGGATCTGATAACCCAGGTATGCAACTCGTATCACATCAGCTTGATGGAACAAACTTTT